GAGGTCATGGGTTTTGAACATGTGATCACTTGGGTCACATAATTCGTTTATTATGATTTGGTTTCGCACATGTGACCACTTTAGGTCACATGACTACAGGCGGGAAGGATACTATATAAGGAGATCGATGCGGCCGAGGAAGATAGGTTCTTCATGCTTTGTTCTAAGTACTTTTCCTCATCCTTGCCGCCGCTTCGCCCCGAGCATTTCTTTTGCCATCATGATGGGCCTTGATGCCTTTGATTCTGTGGGAGATATCTGAGTTCGCTCAGTAGTTCCTGGGGTCTTTAGTGTTAAGGTCTGTTAGGTGTTGCATGGCAGATAACTTGTTTGCGTCTCGTTTCGTTAGGTTGGCTATCTCATGATACTAGCACTTCGAGCACTCATCACGGTCGCTTACGAGCCCCTTACGGTAAAATGTCTACAGCTTCCTGTCTATCATCTACTCCTGGGTTTCGCATTCGTTTGGTGGGATTGAACATTGCGTTTTGGGGGGATCACCCGTGTCGTTCTTTGGACCAGCTCATGTCATTTGTTGGGTTTTAATGGAGTTCTTAGTTCACGCGATACAAAACGCCCTTGGGTTAAACTGATGAGCTTCCCAAGTATCAACACATTGTACCGGCCGCATCACTTCCTCAAGCGAGGGGGCCTCGCCGGCCCCTCCCTGCCTTGTTACTTTACGTTTCTACGGTCGGAATCCTATGATGTTGTTTATCGCCGTTCCCTTGGAGTTTTTGTCCTCGGGGCATTTACGGCGATTCAGTCAGGTATCTCCTCCTCGCCTCTGTGGGGATGGCTTTGACCCTGAAAACTCTTACCTCTTACCTGGTGTGGTTGTTGTTGCTGCCTGGGGTGGTGTGGGACGATTGGCTGATGGACACTCGCGTTGTCTGTGCGTCTGGGTGGTTCGGTTGTGGTCTGTGGTTGGCAGCTTCACCCATTGCAAGTGGGGCCTACTTTCTATTTGTCTGCTTCTGTTCGTCCGCCCTCCCCCTTCTTGTCACGTCAGTTGGGGATGCCTCTTGCCTGTTGTTCGGTCCGTGCCTGTTGCCGGACCTGTGGGGCTGGCTTTGGCTGGCTCCGCTTACCTTTTTCCTGACTCCGTTTGACTTCGGTTCAGCTGGGTTGGATGGTGTGGCTGGTGCTGGTGCCTTCGAGTATTGGTGCTGCCTTCTTTGTGGCTCCTGGCTGTGGCTGGTGGGCCCCCCTTGGCTATGTGGTGCTGGGGGTTGGGGCTCTGTTCGTGTGGCTAAGACCAATGGCTGCCTGATGGGATTAGGTATAGCTGTCCTGTGGCTGTCGGATGGTTAATCTGTCGGAGGGGCTGAGCGGGCCGGATGGGCTCTGTGGCGCCTGGTGTGTGGGACTTGAGGGGGGCTGATTGGGGGGGAGGAGGCACCCACGAGACACTCGAACAGAGCGAGACAACAGGCTACGGATGTTAAATTAAGTGTTTCCGGACCGGCTTGGGCTGTTGGGCGAAACTGCTCAGTGCTGTAAAGCTGCCCGGCGGACCTCTGGGCTGATGGCCACCTGTGCGGATAGTGGGTTGCGACCACCTGGTTGGACTTGTTTGGGTCTTACGTGCTGGGTTTCGTGGGGATTGTTTGGTTTCTTTGGTTTGGCAATGGGCATGGCTGGCGGGGGCAAGGCACCACAGGTGGGAGATAGGCCCCACTGACCATTTAGGTCTGTCACTACCTCTATGTATTTCTTTTGTTTATATTTTGTTTTGGGGGACGGGCAGTAGGTACAGGTCCTCCTCACCATTATACTCTCCGGAGGCACTTGGTAAAGTGGGTTCATAGGGTCGACGGCCTGGCATGCAGATGCGAGAGGTAGACATGTTGGTCACCTCCTCTCTGCCATCGTGTCGCCTGTAGTTTATATTTCTTTTGGTTTTGTTGGTTTTCTACTGTGGTGGAGGTGTTGCAGGACGGTGTTCAGACCGGGTGGTTGTGATTTTATATTTGTTGGACGAGGAACCTGGTTGGGTTGGTCTTTTGCTCGGCTTCGGCTACACTTAGTGCTGGTTGGCTTCATACCAGAGGGGCTACAGACTTGGACCGGGGCGGGTGCTGGGTTGTTTGATGGTCTTGTAATTAGTTTCCGTGAGGGCATGACTCAGGGATGGCAGGTGCGGGACTGTAGACTTACTTAGCTTAGGATTAGTAGTATACCGGTTAGCGGTATCCCTGTACCGGCGGGGGCTTGTCATATACCAGTGTTGGCGGTACGAGTTTAAATAAAATTAGATTGACTTCTAAGTACTTTTCCTATCTATTACTTTAACGAATACGAAACACCTTTACAATCTTTATCTTTATTGCAATATTACTGTTACAACAAGGAAAGCTCTTCACAAAGAAAAGTTAGAGAAAGCTTACGATAGGAGTTCCCGATAGAAGACAGAGGTCTTGTGCTATTGGTAATGTAGGCAGAGGCCTAGTGCTATCATAAGATGAAGAAATAAGAAAGCAGAAGAGAGAAGTATCGTTCCCCGTTGCCAAGAACTAACTGTCTAAAGGGGGATCGTTACAATAGCCTTTATAAAAGAAATATGCAAGCTACATGGTTTACTAACTGAAATTGCCTTGGATATGGATTTGAAGTTAGCAGGAGAATTTTGGGAATCCTTGTACAAAACATTAAGAATAAAAAGAAGGATGTCTACAGCATTCTACCAACCAATGGCCGGACAAACTGAGTGAACCAACCAAGTGCTGGAAGATTACTTGCGAAGTTTCATCAACTACTATCAAGATGACTGGTACTAATTGCTATCTCTAGTCAAATATGCTTACAATAATTCAGCAACTAATGCACATAGAATGACCCCTTTCTGCACAAACTATAGATTTCATCCACCAAGTGAAGGGATGGAAGAACGTGTGGTGTAAAATCTAGGAGGCACACTTTATGCAAACTGGATAAAAATGATCTACAAGCAAGCAAGGAAATCACTCCAACATACACAAGAGGCTATGGGCAAATACTATGATAGGAAGGCCAAGAGATAACCTAACTTCAAAATCAGCAATAAAGTAATTTTAAACGCAAAGAACATTCGTACATATTGGAAGTCAAAGAAACTTAGTCCAAAGCTACATGGACCATTTGTAATCTTGGAAAAATGAAAAAATTGGATCTATAAACATAATATTTCGAATCAATAGAACAAACACCCAGTGTTTTATGTATATCCATCAGCACCATACAGGGAATCAGTATACGCGGACCAACAATAACTTTCCAGGAAGCCCAAGGATATTGAGGAAAACTTACAATAGCAAATAGAGAAAATAGTAAGAAACGAGATAAGCTCTTATCAAAAGAGAATATACAGTTACTACCAGAATGTATGTGAACTATAGTATTTTATTAAATGGTAGAAATGCAGAAGTATCTCACAAACCCAGGCTCATAACCTGAAAATCTTTGTCTCTATTGCACTAACTATTGTGACAACGAAGTAACAATGATAACCATATTAAAATCTGAAGACTTAATGATTAATCCAAGCTTGCATGCTCTTTCTAAGAACAGGGATGAACCTGCCCTTTATATACCCTTTTATCATTACACAAGCACTGCCTCATGCCAAGGAAATGTCTAGAAGATGCTAGAATACAATAGCATATATACTCGGTCATGTGGCTGTGTCACATGACCAACACAGCCCCATCACCGGATAGGTAAGGAATAACGTAATTTCCAACACATGGGCATCCTCTAAAGGACTCAAAGAGCCGAGGAACTGGGCACTGGTTCATCGTGTGGTGTACGGAAGTGCATTGAGGTGCTTGTATCGTAGCGTTTTAACTCGCTGTGGTCGGTGTGATAATTTAAGCGCTGGAGGTCTACCAAATGGAGGTTCACGTACGGCACTGTCCTTGGTGCTGTACTCGAGTACAGTACTCGGGTACCTTGCCGGCACAGTGGATAATAACTTCTACATTACCGCCCTTTTGACAGCACGGACGTCGACTCTGGCGCGACGATATCCGGATGAAAGGGAGTGGGGTCTTTAGTCACAGGTGAATAAATGGCCTTCTCGGGGTGCAGAGGGTTTCATGGTGTTCTTGGAGGAGCTCAGGTCGGAGGGAGGCCACAATAAAGTGCTGTATTGTATGGTAGTCTACTCGTGGGTAGTTCGAGTTAACTTATGGCACTTCGCCTCGGGGTGCTATTGTGCTGTTGGTAGAGCAGCTAGGCAACTCTCAAGGCACAATTACAACTCTAGAAAAGGAGCGGAAAAATGAATGAATAGGAGTCTAACTATCGCCGGGATTGGTGAATGAATCCCCTTGACCCGCCCATTTGCAACGTTCCAAAAAGCACAGGTCGAAAGTCAGTCTTTGGCCTGCCATCTCCCGCGTTCGCTCTCAACACCCCTTACCATGTCCGGTACCTCGTCATTCGTGGATACCCTCGCGAAATCAGGAGGTTCTGGAGCTTGGTCAGGTTATGCAGATAAGATATACCGTAAATCGCTCACTCAAGCTTGAGCTTCCAGAATCTTTCCTCGTGTGGTTAGGTTATGCTGATACCCCCCCGTATTTTCTTCAACGGTCGAGCTGGGGCGGGGATTGCGGAGGTGAGAGAGGGGTCTGTGAGACCGGGGCTGATTACGTACTACGGTAATTGGGCTTGTGTTCCCGGATTTTTTCTTGTCTTACCTGCCTGCCTTCGAGCCCCACTGTGCTCCCACCCATCACTTTGCCAAGGGCTATAGGACTTGGGGGAGACATGTATGATATGCTGCTTCTGCTTGCCAGCGAAGCAAAGCGGCTGAGCAGAATGTCATGTTGAGTGAAGTGGGGCTGACGAGGACGAGGACGCATTGCTTGTGTGAGAAGACCTTCAGTATTGTATTATCGAGCCCGGACCACCGGTCTCGGGCTTGGAGCGTTAGTTTGCTTCGGGGGGGGGGGGATAAAAGGGACTGAACCTACCCATTCTCCGCTAGAAATAAGAGGACAAGACAGCAGAATTAAGGAAGAGAAAAAAAGCAAGCACTGTCTGACATCACATCAACCGGTAATTTATTGTCGACATTATGCCGATGCGGTGCACTACGATCCATACGTACCGTCATACATCCATAGTCTCTTAAGAACTTTGTATTCCCATAAGACATCTTTTTATTTGTTCGGTTTCTCGCAACGGCGTGCTGTATAACCCGTTTACTTATTTATCTATCCGTCCATCTTGCGAGGTGTTGCCGAATGACCGATGGCCCGGGGCGATATGACTGGTGATAACAGCGTTGGGTGTACGGCGCTGCGATGGGCAGGTTACGAATTCGAGGTGCGGGATGTGGGTAGGGGGTCACCACCGTCCTGCACGGATGCGACGTCCCCGGAAACTCCGTTCCTGGACGGGAAAAGTTGGGATGGGAATAGTTGCGCTTTGGATAGCGGGGTTCAGAGGATGCGGGCGGAAGACAGTGCTTGGAGCGGGGGAGTCGGACTAGGGTTGGGGCTCGGAATTGGAGCTGGAGAAGGGCCGTCAGTGCAGCCACCGATTTCTCCATCTTATCCATTCTCAAGGATGCAGTTGCAGGATGGCCTTAGTCCTGCTGGGTTGAAATCCGTCAGTGAGGAATGTGGGGGTTGGGTAGAGGATGGGATCATGATTCCACCATTGGGTGAGAATGGTGATGATATTTTTGGCATGGATATAGATCTTGAGTTTGCTTTGGCGGGTGAAGATCTTGGTATGGTGGAGATGCCAGCGCTAGGTATGATAATTATGCCATGCCTATCTGACACTAACACCTTGGTTATGCTAGTGGACTTCGGCTAATGCATTTTTGGACTAGTCATGCCAGAGTTCATCCCCGATAACGGATTCAGCAAGCAAGAGGGCAGGCCTGTGCCTTCCCCTTCTCCCTCTCCGGATTTTCGTGTGAAAAGGCGACATACCGATAGTGATAAAACTAATAAAACTACCTGGCATGCAGAACCACTCCCAACTTTTCCAGAGGGGAAATATAACTTCCTAGGGGTTGGATCAAGCGCTCATAGCGCAAGCTTTCTGTCGCCGTCCTTCTCATCTCTCCCAATCTCCTCAACGGGGACAACACCTACCCCGCCTTTAAGTGAGGGTGGGGGAAGTCTGGTCCGAAGGACTTCCTCCAAACGCCGACGTAGCGAGAAACGCTCGTCAAGCAGGTGTGTATTCTGCACGATTCCCGACAGACCAAAGGACAACCAGAAAATATTCCTGCAGAACCTCCCCTGCGAGATACTTCTCCTCATATTCGAGTTCTCTTTCATCTCACCAACAAAGTTCCCCAAGTGTGAGCACCGCCGTAACCTGCCCTCGGGGCATATATCCCGAAGGGCTACAGCCCCGATCTTCACAAGTTCCGAACCTCAACCGGCACAGCCGCTATCGAGCGATCAAAATGGGGCAGCGGCGGCAGCGTCGACGGAGGTGAAAATCGACGAGTCAGATCCCCCGCGATTACCCGATCACCTGAGGATTTACAGTGCAAAGACTCTACTTTATATTTCCTTGACATGCACCCGGTTCAACGAAATTCTCATGGATAGTCACGTCGACGCCACGTTCTGGCGCTCAGCAGCACGCTTCTGTTGGAACTGGCTGCCGGAGAATCTTTGCGATGTACAGGGCCGGGAGGAGTCTCATCAGACTAGCTGGCGAAATCTGGTTGGGGTGTTTATGCGGAGTGAGAACGGGTTGATTAAGCAGAAAGGCGGTGGGAAAGGTGGTGTCGAATCATTTGGTGGGAATAAGGGGTGCGTGCCAGCTACATTATGGAAGGATGAACAGGCTAGAAGAGCGGTGGTAGGTAGCGAGGGGATGAAGAAGAAAAAGAAGTTGTTACTTGTTTGTGCACAACCCGGCCCAGACCAGCTTCAGGTCTTTCCTGATAAGGAGGGGGGGTATACGCTTTGTTTGAGCCTTAGGGCCGGGAAAGATTCTTTTGTCACCTTGGACGAGTATGGGACGTTCGGAAAGAAGCCTGCTCGGCGGCCTGGAGGATTGAAGTGGAGCACGAGAGGCATAGGGTATTTTCCTCCAGATATATATGAAGTCGAAGGGGATCGATATCAGCTTGTCAAGGTTCGGCTCAGGAGAGAAGCGTCCATCTCCACGTTCAGCTCTGTTAAGGCTCATCCCAAGCCAGCAGTCAAAGAGATTGTAACGTGGGACCTGAATTGTCTGCCGGAGTACGTTGCTGATCCCAAAGCAAGCGTTGCCCGATGCACTAGCTGGGAGGGAACCCTAGTGTTCAACCTATTCACCCATGGCGGTGGGGAGGATCAAGATGGTGGTATAGAAGCTCTTATGGACCCCCCGGAGGACCCTCGTATATTTTGTGTGGAATCGCTCGGATACCCTGGCTGTCACTCGACTGGTAAGGCCACTGCGACGCCTATGTCGGAGAAGAAGCGAGGTAAAATGAGAGCGTCGTCTGTCCCACTGCCTGGGGAGCAAGGAACGGTCTACCGCTGGCAGCAACTATTTACATACGATCGTGCGGGGGAATATTCTCCGGCAGTGCACTTGCACTACGTAATTTGTAACCTGAAGTTGAACAGCACCAAAGCTGTGGCCCTGATCCGCTGGAACATCCGAACGACAAAATCCAATGAGGAGCTAGTCGACCGAGAATTCAGGATCGTGGATTTAAAAACTGGAGGTGTGCTCCGAACATTATCCTTCCCGAACCTGTACTGGGATCACAGACATCACGACATGAGTGTGGAATACAACCTCATGAGGCATCAAAAGATGGTATTACTTTCTTTTAACCCTATCGAGACAATCTAGTACTAACACTGGTCCGCTGAGCCAAACAGAGTAGATTATACAATCACCTGGGCCCCGGCGAATCCATGGGCGCTGGCAACCGCTGCACCCGCATCCACACAGACGCCTTTGTACTGACGGAAACCACACTAATCAGCGGCTCGCACGACTACTGCAACTGGGTCTGGGACCTAAGCTCCCCACCACCGCCACCCCCGAATCCGCCACCAGTTTTCACAGCAAGCCACAACGAGGCTGGTCTACACGACCCATTTACGGTCCTCGACGACTTCTACTGGTCCTCGGCACCGGAGCCCGGCAAGGAACTCTGGAACACCAACAACGAGCGTGCGGGATGGTGGGTGCGCACGCCAAACCAGGTGCTATGCTTTTGGCACAACATCTCCATCTCCCCCGAGGGCCGCTTCTTCGCTGTTTGCCGGCCCGGCAAATTGTTTGTCTGGGATCTGCTCAACGGAGGGGGCAACAAGGTCGTCGGATTCACGAATATCCCTCCCGGCGCACCGGCTTCTACGCGTTGGCTGGGGAGGTTATCCGAAAGCGCGAGTGGTCTCAAGCACTTGCTCAGGCATTGGTTCGTCTGGGAAAATGTCCTGCCGGAGCAGGGTCTTTGGCTCCTCTACGATGATTTCACCACTGTATATCTTGACCGCGACGATATTCTTTCAGCGGCTGGATTGGGTAAACGTGCGGAATGGATGTTCCACAGGGAGGACTTTGAGATGTCTGAGGATGAGGGCGAACATGGTCAATGTCAACATGTTCATGGACGACGGCGAAGGTCGGAATTTGATGATGATTGCAGTGAAGGTGATGACTGTGAAGATTACTATGAAACCTCTTCTGACTTTGACGAGGAGGGAGAGGAACACGAAGCTAAGAAGAAGCGGCGCACCGAGGAGTGGGAGATGTTGAGTTTTGAGGCGGAGGAGGATTTGACGTTTAGGTGATTTTTTCTTTCTTTTATTTTTTCTTGTAAGTTAAAAGCTTAGCTTTGTTTTTATACCTGGCATACATGAGTGTTTAGCTTGCATGAATCATGATGAATGGATTGGCTGCGGGAGTTTGAGAGTTTTCTTTGCTTAGTACCGTAGGATAGATGTAGGTATCAAAGTTTTGCCCCTTTGGGGGTTTAGCGCAGCAAACATCTTCGTGTGACTACCAGCGTCCTTGATGCCCCAAGCGCCTCGAGTACCGGTAGTCTAACAGAAAAAAGAGAATGACAGTTCAGGCCGTATCGCAAAAACAGGATGTACGGAGGTATGTACGAGTATGATACCTCCGTATAGAAGAAGTTTGGGTGGAAGTTGGTCTGCGGTATCCGTTCCACGAACAGGATGCAGAAAAGAGAAAAAGCGAAGAAGGAGGAGTAGTCTACTCGTCACTACCACCCCACTACCGTCGAAGGGCAGGAGCCGCATCGCGGGATACCCCTCACTCGACTGACAGTTGCGGTTTTTTCACACCGGCTCGATTTATGATATCACGGCTTTATTGTTTAACTTAGGGAACAATTCTGACATGGGGATCCCCCGGTCGGAACGGCAGGCGTCCGAGCCTCACTATTCTTGGAAAGTGATTTGGTGCTCTGGTGAAGGGGTATATACCATTAGACTATCACCTTCACGGGGATCTAACCCATCGGCAGGAATATTCATCGGTTCCGCTCCTTCCGCAATAGTCTCCTCGCTCTTCAATCTTCTTACTGGCAGCTCGGACTTGTATCATAGTAGCGGTGGGGTGGCTCGTTACGAGTACTACGCAATGGGAGTGTGCAGGAGGAGGGGGAGGGTCGTATGTCAGGCATATCTATCATATCATACCCGGAGCGTGAGGGCGTTAGGTTTTGCGGGGATGCGCGGGGGGGTGGTGGTGTTGGGGTGGTGTTGGGATGGGATGGGGGCTGATGATGTGCTTTGATTACCGGTAAGTGTTGCGGTGATGACGTTTGTTTTTGTTGTGGGGAGGGGAAAGGAGGGTGGACGAAGCATACGGTTTTTGAGCATCCCAGAAGTAGGGAGGGGGATCCAGGGGGGAGGGGGGAGTATTGAAGTTCACTGTTTGGTTATTGATTTGTTTGCTTGATGGACTATATCATTCATCCGCAGTGATTCAGGTCTGCCTTGCAAGCTCCTGCAGCACTTCCTTCACAACCTCCAACTCGTCACTTTCCACTTGCCAGTTTGCCACAGCTATACGTATTGCTGGCCTATTGCTCCACATTGTCCCGGATACATACATCTTCCTTGTATCGTTGATAGCCTTCTTCAGTCTATGGTTTAGTCCATCTTCCTTTGCGGAGAATAGAACAATCACGAAGATATCCCCGATCGGTCCGTTGAGTAGTTGGTATGACCCATGTCCATGTATGAAAGTCGCTATGTTCCGTGAATGCGCAACAAGGCGGCTCAGCAAGTCTTTATACCCGCTCACACCGTAGGCGCATAGGGTGGCGTATACCGGCAGTGCCCTGAAGCGGCGGGAGTTTTCTAGGCCAAGGTTTAGCGGTGATTGTATCCCGTCGGGAGAGGAGGATGGGGATAAGTAGGGGGCTGTATTGACGAATGTTGCTAACAGAACTCTCGAGTCTCTAGTGAAGAAGAAGCCGCAGTCGTATGGCTATAGTAGGGGGACAGGGTTAGGACGATCTTTAAGGGCAAATATTAGAAGTGAGGGGGCGGGGGGGGGGGTACAACATACGACGTTCAGTATCTTGTGCCCATCCCCGACAATACTATCTGCAAGCTCCAAGCCCCGCGCAAACCCCCCATCACCAGACTCCTCACTCCCAAGAACCCTCGCAAAGATCCCAAACGCAGCATCGGTGTGCAACCATGCACCATACTCATCAGCAAGCTTCCTAATCTCTTCCATCCCTCCGTCGAACCGGCCAGTGTTGACCTCACCGAAGCTAACCACAACAATAGAAACCACCCCCTCCGCCTCCGCCCTCTCCAACTCCTCTTTCAATCTAGCAAGGTCAATCTCCCATGGTTTCTCCACTCGCCCGATATCCACCACGTTCCCGCGCCCAATCCCCACTACTGCCGCAGCCTTAAGAAGGCTTGAATGCGCCATTGCCGAGAATACCTTAACCCCCGTAGCCCCCGCCCTAATGCATGCTTCCAGCAAGCCTAGCTCACCAACGCCCCCCCGACCCTCGTCCACCCCGCGCGCGCGTAGTCTCCTATTAAGCACCTCTTCCCTCCCACACGCAAGCCCAAGGACATTCCCCGCCGTAGCACCAGTAGTAATCACCCTCCCCGCCCACTCCCTCTCGTCTAGTCGGAACAATTGACATAGCAGCCGTAACGCCACGTCCTCGACCTCGGTAACGAGCGAGTCCTGGGGTAAGTGCACTTGCACGTTTGCATCTACCGTTGAGACGAGGAGGTCGGCCAGATGCGCTGCTGGGGTGACGGAGCCAGTCACGAAGGCATAGTAGTGTGCGGTTGTTCTCGCGAAGGATGGTAAGAGGGAGAGGAGGTGTTGGGCTGTGTGTTCTAGGCCTAGACCGGTGTGTGGAAGGTGGTGAGTTAGTATTGTGCGGGCAGCGGTGATGGTTTGGGGGTCGGGTACTGGATGCGGGAGGGCCGAGAGGGTCGAGAGGAGTTGGGTGAGGAAATGTGCAGCTGTGGGGTGAATGGGGTTGGTGGAATTCGAGGGCGGGGGAGATCCCGTTTTGAAAACGCTTTGGGGATGCATTGGGGATGAGGAGGTGGTTTGAACTTAACTTATATCTGCATCAAAGGCTCGACTTCACCCCCCCGTGTGACCCTGCTACTGATGGTCTAGCCCTAACTTCATGCGTCTAGCATGGATGTTTGTCGTGCAGGATGCATCGTATCATGTTCGCAGCTATACTGCATGCCATCGTGCAAATGCAATAACAAGCACTTTTAATGCAGCTTTCAGGACTGCATTGGACCCGGAAGCTCTCTCTCTTCTAACGCTGTTGATGTTATGCAGTGTTGGAGCACCATTACCCGGGATAATTCTTGCTCTTAATCAGAGTATAGCTCTGCGAGTGATATATCATGACTGGTTGGTTAGAAAAGTCGAATACCTTATTGAAGATGGTGACTGCTGGTGTCGGTTAAGGGCGAGACGGGGGATTAAAGTCAAGTAGAGAGTCACGAACAGAGAAGACTTCAAGAAGCGATCCAGGGATCTTTGAACATAATAAAATCAAGATAGCATCCTGATACAAACAACCCTCTACTTGGAACAGTAAAAACCGTCATTGCAAGGATTCAAAACTCCTCCAGCTGAATTAGTGCCTACAAAACAAGGTTATTAGATACAAAGGAAATAAAGGATTCATACTGACTTTCCATTGAATTTTTTTCCTTCGGATGTTCTAGGTTCCTAAGATCGCCTAGACTCCCGCACGGCTGTTCCGGGCCCGTACTCGTACACACGATGTCCGATTTACTCTGAGGGAGGTTAATCCCTGCGTTAGCTTGATTAGTTAATTATGCCGGGAATCTTGCCCGACGGAACGATTTTCTTTCAGCACGAACTGTTGAGAAGGGGTTTTTCAAGGGGAATCCATCTTGTGCGGGTGATAACTTGGGAGACGTCGCAGAGATATTAGGGATATCATCCGTTTTGGGTAGGGCTGGGATCATGATTCAGGGGCACTGTATGGAGCTCATCGGTGAGAAGAGTGTTCTCGCCTTCTTCCATTGCACTCAAGAATTCTATATCATTGTTCGCGTCGTGCGTGATCTTCCAAGATTCCAAGAACCTGATGGTGAATGCTGTGATGGCCCCGCTCGCGGCTTGCTCTCTAGCTAGCATCAATAGACCATGGCGTGTGTATGTCGGTATGATTGAGTGGGCTTTCCAGGTAGAGATGTTCATAGCCTTCCATCACAATATCTGCAAGAAACCCGTGAAGAACATGGCTTTGTCATGGCTCTACCATGGGTCGTAATATATCCGGGGATTATGATGCTAAAATAATTTACGATTAAGGGGCCTAGCCTAAGGGTGGACAATTCCGGTGAGGAGCTGAGTTACCGCTCAAAGTGGGTGACTTTCAAATAACCTCGTAGTGATCAAATCTTTTTCCAAATTTTTACAAGTAGACCGACCCAAACCACTCTCCGGTCGGTAGTAGCAGAGTGACTTGTGTTATATATATATCCTGCTGCAAGACTACAGACCACTGGCCGGTATAAGGGTGGAACCACTCTGGAACAAAAGGTATACCGCCGACTATAAAACCCAAGGAGCTATCTCCAGCATGGGCCCCACCAACCGGCCAGGCTCATATCCGCTCGCTTCCGGGCAAATTAGTGCCGAGCCCCCGATGGATTCCCGTGGAGGCAGATGAAGTCCGGAACTTCCCAAAAGAAGACTCAGGAAGGGCAAAGGTACGAAACAGTCCGCGTCCGAAGCTCGAAGGGCGGTGATTTGAGCTTGGCTGATTACTAACACTTCTCTTTGAGGTTACCTTGTGCTCGCTTGTGGATGGAGGACTTGATTTGGGGCGTAGTGTCACTCCACGGACGGGGTTTGATCATCTCATCTAGGGCAGATGGGTATTACGGGGTGATGCTGGAGACTTGGGATCAACACCCAATTGACTTGAGACATTTCCAACGCGATTGTGTTTAATCTGTCAGGTTGAATGATTAATTAAACACGCTGTTGCTGGTTGTGGGAATATTGGCCTAAACATGAGGACATTTTGTGTGCACGGGAGGAACAAGCGCATGCGCATATCGTAGCAAAAAGGTCTCTGTTGTGATAATCGGGATACTGTAGATTGTATCTTCTTGGTGACCCACTTTCCAGGCGGGATAAACAGGTCCCTCAAATACATAAAAACCCTCTCGGATATGTCGCACTATGGGATATAGACATATCTATGACAACCTGTGGTAGGCTGGATGTTGATATCCAACGCAAAAATATGGGTGATATTCGATGAGTGCTTTTAGTGTTTCGGGTAAGGGACTCCGAAATTATTAGGGTTAAAGTTTTTCTTTTTCATGTTTTTTTTTTCACCTCTGTTGCCGGAGGCGGGGAAACCTCTTTCGGCTGATGACCGCGTGTGAGAGTTAAATTTGTCTGCCTCTCTTACCCACGGAAGGCCATGCAGCAACCCTGGCCCTTTGGTGCACGCACAACCACGGTTCTGCAGTCTATCATACCGATGTTTGACAGTCACCGGCTCCTAGTCTGCGTGTCGGCACCACCGTGAAACCCTTGAGAAATGTCGGTTACAGACCTACCACTAGTGCGGCGACATCAAGCACTTGTATGGCTATCATACTCCTTGCCCCTCTCGCGGCTGCTGGCACTGGGGGAACAATTCCTGCCTCGGCCGGGCCAGATACATGTGTCCTCGGTCAGATCATACTCTCGGTCATATAACCGGCAGTGACAAGGAAAATGGGAGCTTGCCATAATGGAATGTGATGAAGGATCTGGCATACAGTAGAAGTATGCGGGGAAGGATCTGTATGATCCGTGAAGGATAAGGGGTATGTATCCTGTTTTCCTTTGTTAGTTGTTTTCATTCATTATCAGTTCTATGATATCTCTCTCTCTACTCGATCGTCTGTACTCCATTTATTATTCTCTTAGTTTGTATCTTTTGTTTTCTAGACTATTTCCCTGTTACATATTCACCTGAGCTCTTTGTACGATACTGCATTCTTTTTGTTGTGCCGTCAAACCAAGTGTTCAAACTGCTGTCCGTAAACCTTGTTGAAAACCCCTGACATGTGCGATTCTGCTATCGCGATTCTTGGCATGGTTCAACTTTCTGATACGGATAGCCACGACGTAGGTTGTTGTGATTATTTATGCGTATATATCTGTCGATAGATAATTTTCAGAATTCAAATTGCTCGATTAAATTCCCGGATTCTTGCAGAAAAGAAAAGAAAATGGTAAATCCTTGCTTAGTCATTAACTTAGACCAGAGAGAGGTGCACGGGGGGTTGATTCCAACTGTCTGGGATCACATACACTCGGATGAACTTTCATTCCTGAAGGTGTGGGATGGCTCAGATTTTGGTTAGGTGGAGGAACCGGTAAATCCCTTTTTGACATTCTTGGGGCTGGGGGGACACCGGCCAGGCACTTCCCCACCTCCCGAGCTTATCTTGCTGGATGTCAAGCACGGACTTTACCAGCGAGGAGATGCCGCTGAGGGGAGGAACAGAGGAATTGCCTATTCGAACTTTGGGGCTCTTGATATTGATAAGGAGCAAAACCACCACCGAGAACCGAGACCCCAATCAAACCATCGACAGCGGACCGCGCGGGGTACTCACTCCTCTTAGCAGGAAGTATCCGAAAACAGGGGTCATGAGTTTTGGTTGGGCGCTCAGATACACACCGACCATTGCCATACACAGTACTTTGCGGATCCCTGATTCCCTCCGGCACTTCTTGCCTGCTGCCAATATGGTACGGTACGGTAGAAGTTTAATTACGGACTCGGGGTAACACTAATGCTGGAGGCGGGAGTGGTACTAGGAGGAAATATATCCTGGTGCCAGGCTCACTCGGCGCGTGGGGAAGCAAAGAACCGACAACAGACAGCTATTCTGCCTACCTATACCATAACTAACGATGCGAAATGTGGCGCCTCCACACTAGAGGTATGGTCGAAGCACCCCTCTCTCCATCTTCGCTATAGTCTACTAGCTAAAGGCGGAGGCCAACCTCGAGAGGCAGATATTCGCGAGCAGGCGGAGTTCCGAGCGAGGTATATCAGATGGGATAGGATTCTGCACAAGGAGGTCTCGTGGTTCTCGAGGATTAGGAAATTGTCTTCGAGGATGCCTGCGCGGATACTGGTATACCAGATACTTCAATTGCAGAAACAGGGCGACTAAAGTGCCCTCAAAGAATAAAGAGGAGAAGATATGGTGACTCTGGAAGCTGTTCCAACTTCGTAATACGGTTTAGTGGAGCAGCTTCCTTTTTCCCTGGGCTTCTTCAATGTTTTTGAGAGATAAATCTGAGCTCGCCAGCACTGCACATTGATATATACTCGTTGGCACTGTACAGTACTGTACTGTACGGTACTCTACTAACGTTACTCGCAAAACAAGCCCAAGGCGTTAGTTAGAACAAGTCTCCTACGTTACTCTCACAACTCAAGTCCGGGAATCTATACTTTCCCTAGAATGCGATAACTATTCCTATCATAATTTGGTCCCAAATCACTACAAACCCATTTGGAGGCAATATCACCCCTCCGCTTCTCCTGTAAGCCGTCCTCAGTTAATTCTTGTCCAAGCCACCTTTTGGCCACTAAAGGCCCACCGTGCTCCTCTTCCAAGAATTGACCCTTTTTCGCTCGTTCCACTTTTCCAGCCGTGGCTCGTCTTTCAGCCCAATTCAAGTCACTTGACGGGTGCAATTCGAACACAAATTAAAATTTCCCTTTTCCTCCTCCAAACATAATTACTCAAGAGATCCTCGAAGGTTTCCTCGATGGCCTCTAATTTATCTTCAAGGCGCCTAGCCTCGTGAGATACGTGGACTCCTCATCTTCGAGGCCAATCCTCGAGGATCAGCCTCGCTGCTAAGTCCTGACGAGCTGAGGGGATTCTTGCGTCCAATGTTATTGGAGGAAATTTCACCGGCCCAAAAAGTGCGCTACATCCCCGGCTATAGAAAACCACTACCCCGGCGAGCAAAGCTAACTACATGAAAGTGCTAAACACACCGATATGCATGTCTCGAGATATATACCTCTAGCGCTAAGCTGGTAGGATAGAGCTTCGTCTATAAGCGAGTGGATATAAAGGCACTGGCGAAACTCTACCGAAGCACAACTCCAATCATCAAAATTTTGACCTTCCAAACTCCCTCCACATATACATCCCCCCTAAGCCTGGACGAGCCATACCAGACCTCTTTCATTCTACATTCTAATATCAACTCGCTCCTCCCATTTCAAACCTTTCGCCCCTCAAGACCCTAACTTTATAATGTCTCTCGGCCTCTCCCAAAGCACAACGGTGCCCGGAACGGGACTGTACGTCCATACAATAACCCGCAAAGGGGCTAGCAACTACCGTCGCATCACCTTCTCCCTAACCACCACAACTCCCCCCCCATCCTCACTCCCTCTCTACTCTCCTCCCTCTCCATCTCCCTCCTCCTCTTCCTCACAATTCTTCTCGACCGGCGTCGGCGGCGCCGGGAACATGAGGCACAAATCCGAGCGCGCCATTTTCTTCTTCGACGAGGAACTGGAGAGGGAGAAGGTTATACGCGAGAACCGTGCGCCGGTCTACTCCATCGGTCGGGGGGGCGCTGGAAATATAGTCTCTGCGGAATCACCGATGAGGACCGGGTCGGATTACTCCATGGACTCGCTATTGTCGGCAAAGAGCTCTATTCAGCCGGAGATAGTAGCTGTGGAGGCCCCGGAAGAGGGGAAAGCTGTTCTAAAGTCTGGAGCTGATAGGGCATGGAATAGGGTTCGGGGGTTTCTCGGTCGGAGGGTGTTGTAAATCTCCTTGCTTTAAGATTTATTCTTTGTATAGATTTCTTTTTTTTTCTTTCTTTCTTCTAATATCGTATGTGCCCTTTATCTCCTTATTCTCTTTCTTTTTTTTCCCTATGGGTTTCCGGACGAATATATGGGGTTTGGTATTGTGACTTGGAATTGGAGTTTTGGTCTTCGGAAATCAGATAGGATATAGTCTCATGCGAATCAAATCTTCAAGATCTGGATAATCCCAAGAGCGATCATACATGGCCGCCTCCACGGTGCCCCTTCTGCTGCAGTGTATCATAGATGGGGGCCGATGTGTCTTACCAAAACACAAATGTAAAAGGGTCACTTCGGTGCGAGTATAGTACAGTTCGTACCACAAGCCAGTCACAATCAATCACTACCTTAAAACCTGCAGACGTAAGATCCCCACAGGTAACCCCACAGTACCGGCACTTATCATAAGATGTATGATATATCATAACATATTATACCTAGCTCGGCGATTTCTAAAACCCCTTTGCCCTAAGACTAGGTAGGGGTGGTGGTTACGAATTAATTAACTCCTTCTAGAAGCCTGTGGGAGATCAACCGTGTGGCTCTCTCTCCACCGTGTCCCACCGGCTTCATCTCCGATTGGCGATCCTACCTGAACGTCGCGTCGGTGCCGAAGCCATCTTAGCCGTTGACGTTTTGCCTTCGGTGTGAGGATCCTCGCAGAGAGGGAGTCGGGAGTTAACACCGGGCTCCCTTATCTCATTGGGGGAGGGGAGGGGGGATGGCGTTGAAGATCGCAAGATTGCCCTTGAGGGGGGCGGTTGCTACAGTAGGGTTTACCCGAGCGATAGCGGACATTGAGAAGACTGAATGAAGCGGGAGACGATGCCAAGTTCATAATACAAAATACTGTACAAGCAGATTATGATACTTTCTCTCTCCCGACTTCTGCATTATCATAACCTCATCGAGGAATCCCCGCCGCTACCAGTATACATACCGTATATGCTCGTCGATACTCACACAAGTATCCGGCATGAAGTACAAGAGCGTTTGAATCTGGATTTAGTATGGGCGCTCAGGCGTGTACTTTACTGTACGAGTACTGTACAGTACCCTACTGTAAATGGACGGATAATTTACCAAATACGAACCCTTGATCCTTGTGATCGGGGTACTCCATACCGGATACTTTGTAAATGAAATATAAACAATATTGTGCTAGCGCTGGTTAGAACCCGCCGGGTTTCTGATACTTAAAAAAAAAATTTATACACGGTTGGTATCCCCCACTGCTTATTGGACCCCATATTGGCGTTATGGCGCTCTTCTGCGGTAATATAGACCCTCCGCCGCATATTCTGTGAGCCACCCTCTCCCCCTCCAAAACGATTCTCGCCCGAGGCAGCATCTGTAGAGCAGGGTCTCGCAACTCACTTCCCCTCCCCCACAACCCCACATCCAACTACTACTACTATTACTACCACTATGATACCACTGCCGCACCCCTCAATCACGCAATTAGCCAACAAATGCTTAAGGGGTCTCCCAATTTACCCCTCAACGCCCCCCACCCCTGCCATATCAGACCCTTGGATCCGTTGTTCCTTGAAAAAAAGGATCCTCGCATTGTGCCGAAGCTCGTTAAGGTGACATTGGGCTACAAGTATGTATAGAAGGGGTCGTCTCCCCACATCTGTTGAGGAATATGAGATTTATGTTGACAACCTCCTCCCTCCCTCCCTTTCCTTTCGCTTGTCCAACCTGTCAACCTAAATTTCCACCTACCTACCTACCGCGGGCGGATGCCGTGCTCCGTACCACCAAGTACCGAAAAGCCAAGTCAAAAACCGCGTCTCCTAGAAGCCGGTACAGTACTCGACAGCTGCACCTACCTACCGTAGCAGGAAGCACCTTAACACAAGGATCAAGAAAATTTGTATGGCAGTTTATGTGTGCACACCCGAGCGCCCGTTCTGGATTCAGACGAAAATGCTCAGGTACTTATTGTTGGGTACATGTGCTGTACTGTACATATATATGCGTGCCGTACGATACAGGAGTACAATATCGGAATCGGATATGCACCCAGCACAATAGAGTTGTCTTCAGCAAACAACGTATGATACAGAGCGGGTATATAATATGTCTCGACATCCACACCGACCCGTTCCACTCCGCGATATTCCGTTCCATTCCGTCCGAAGAGAATGAAAAAGGCGGGAAAAAAAGTGAGGAAGAGGAAGAAGAAGAAAAATCATATCAAAGATACGGTTTTCTTGGGCGTAGTTCATCCCCGGTCCGTCGTTGTGTCCTATATGATGGTGACACAGCGGTATAACCACACCAAAAACGTTGAAGAAAATGGCTATTCTGATATCTACACTGTTTATGTCAACCCCCCCCATCAATTATCATAAATATATCTACAGTATCATAGCTAGGGATCTGAGAAATTCAAAGTTTGCGCTTTATCTGCTCAGTTGAACGGGTGCTTTCTCATTGTAGGCAATTCTACGCGCGGGAGCTCTAAATCTCAGATAACCTTCGGAGGGGGATTTTCTTGGAACCCGTGGAGAAAGGTTCGACACTTGATCAGAAAATTTGCAGATTTCACCCATTCGCACGAACCCCCCCAAATCCGCACGAAAAAAACCCCAAGGAGCCAATATATTTTCTGCCCCTCAACGAACAAATCTCCACACTCGCAGGATTTCGCGATAATGGAATAGCAAGTTATCATGTCCCGAGTGAAAAAGGAATTATGCCCAATCATACAAGTTGTAAAAAAGCGCAGTATAGCAACTTCGAGCTCCGTATGTATATACCAAGTATCATACACAATTATTAACGCACCATAAACGATACGATTCATGCCTATACTTCCCCCACCCCCCGATCATCCCTTGGCATTATATAAAATAACCAAACTTCTCGAAACCACTTATCATTCGCCGGAAAGGAGAAACCCCCCCCCCACCCCACTACCCAACTCCTTTCCGCGACTCTCCTAGACTTGAATGAAGGAGGACATCTGAATATTCCTATTATTCTGGATAGACAGGGCACCCACCCTTCTGGGCGAGCGGTAGGGTGAGTCCTTTATTTTACCCTATCTCGTTTTTTTTTTCCGTTGAGATTTATTTCCTTTTCTTTTTTTCGCGCGGGTGTTCTTGCCCAGCGGATTTTTGTTTGGAGTATTGGTGATATCGCGAATTGAAGGAATCACACCATCGGTGGTCCCGATGACCTATATTACAAGTGACATTATTGCAAGAAAATTCCTCCGTATCCTATCTTAGCAAATTCCCCAAATATTTTCTCCGAATCGCCTTTTGGTCTGATACGGGGCTTGAGAAATGGCTGTATCATAACGGCGCTAGGACAACTAGACTTGGACTCGATGTTTCTCTAAATTAACTTACTAACTAGTTTCTCGTGAGGCGGGCGGTAGCCGCAAAGAGGTACCCTACTGTAAGAGCGGGGGGGGGACAACGACTATCAAAGTCCAGTAAGTATGTTTAGACTCGGAAACTAAAGGACGACAATAGATTATTTGTGTAAATGGGGGGGACCTTGCAGTGCTGGACAAAAGCTCTGGCCGTTCTATCATAATCATTTCTTCATACCACACCTCAAATTCCAAGCCCGGATATGCTCCAGCGTCCCCTCCCGGAGAAAACCCTTCTATTATGCATACCTTGGCACTCAGAAAATTTAATATTGAGGATTAGGGAATATGTCGAGTGTTCTCCAGTGTGTGGCTCGGGCAATGTGACCAGCCTCAGTTCCTTCACGGGATTTACGAGGTGCGCCCCCCGGACGGATAGGTCGTACCGTACGAGTACAGTACTTGTATCATACCCCCTGAATAAACTCAAGGTATTAAATTCTTCTTACATCTTCGAACGAAGGAAACGAACGAGGGGGCATATATTCGGTTGCTTTTTTTTTTTTCCTCCGATTTTTTCTTCAAAGATTGGTGTGTTCACATACTGTCACTCGATACAGGGGGCATTGACTTTGTTGAAAATGGCAGTTAAGTACCCGTAGCTCAGACTGGAGGCTACAGTGGTGTGCGTACCTCTCAGATGAGGACGCGTAAGCAGTGAAAAGTTTTCACCTTATTTCTCTCCTATTTCTTTTCTTTTCTTTTCTTCTCAACCTTCTCAGCCCTCAAGTCGACAACGAACTCCACACCTCTTGTATGAAACTCTCCTCACTCCTTATTCTCTACTCTTCACACACATACAATACAAGGTTCCCTCATTACCATTAGAGCCAACTTAGTCCACTGCGTAAAACCCACCTTTCAGTCATTACTGTTGCAACGACAACCGGTTTTATCCTGTCTGTCGTCCTCAATTTCCAACAGACTTAATGTCACCAAAAAAAAGAATCCAAATCCAACTATACCCTCTGCCCCGGAATTATTAAACTCCAATACAAAGGGGGAAGTAAACTGTGGTATCATAGTAACCTCACGCACACCTTATATGTACCATATTATCATAATATTATGAAGAATCTTGGTCAGTCATCTAAGGTTTTATAAGGACGAATCAGGTAGTGAATTTAGTAACGGTTTAAAGAAAGAAGAAGAAAGGGAAAAAAAACGGCAATTTTTGGTTCTCAGAAGAGGGCTAGTCTCAGATCCTTGGTGCCATCCAATATTAAACGACTCCTAGTCTTTGTGGAAAACTGGGGTAACAAAAGATAATATTGTAAGGCTACTCCTTCCAAATAGGAGGGAACAAAATTTTGATTTGATTTGAAATCGCGGATTTGAGACACGTCTTGGCGGCGTTAATTTTTACTTGGATTATTCTGTATTAATCCAAGTGGGTACAAAATTAATAGTCAAGATTTAAGTCAAGTTGCCAAGACTATTTCTCAACTCATGATTTCAAGATTAAATACGGAGGTATCAGTGATTATTCATGACGGCTCATGGAACGGTCTCATGAGATCATAGCGGCACCCTGCGGGCAGGTAAGATCTGGTATGAAAACGGCAAAAGTAGACAGACTATGAGAGGGAAGTATAAGAGAACTCATTGATTGATCCTCCTCGCAATGTGTTGTATGAGATGGGAGAATTGATTGAAGGGAGGAAAGATTTTGTTCTGCATAGAAAAGCATACAAGCTAAGACGCATTACACATACTACAACTCAGGCATACACCCACTCAGACATCCGCCGAGCATG